CAGCCAGAAGGGCTGTGAAACCGGGGGCAACGCTGTCCGAGCCCCCAGAGCAGCGTGAGCGGTTCCTCAGGGCTCTGTGCTGTTCCCCTCCCGCCGCTGCACGGCCAGCGCGGGCAGAAATGTGCCCGCTGCCCCGTCTGGCCTCTTGTTTCACTGCCCCTTTTTCTCTTCTGTACCTTCCAGTAACGTTCCTGCCGTGCAGTTTTATTTCCAGTGTAATTTTTACACACGGAAAGATCCCCAGCAGGGTTTCCCAAACGGGTACCCAGCACAGCGAGGCACCAGCCTGTGCTTTTGAAATGGCCTGTTTGCATTCGGATTACAACCTTTTTATATGCATGTATTTTATCATTTTAATAAACACAATAAAATTTTATTTTGTAGTCACTGCATGTAACAGAGTACAGGCCTCCTTCTTCTGCAGTACCAGTGGGTACTCCTACATCATCTACCTTTATATTGTTATTTTCCTGCCAGAGGATCTCAAATCATGTTATGGACTTTGCTTAATGTGTAGCCACTTCATGGGTGGGATGTGGCAGCACAGAAACTTCAGAACATAGCAAGTTTAACTGGAACTGACAGAACTTCATTTTTTTAAATGGGAATGCCTTTTTTAAAAAAAACAACATCATATATGTCATGTCCTACTCTCATGATAATGCATTTTAGTAATCACACAACCTAGACTTGAATATCTCAAATTTTACAAAATACTGGCAGGAATCCTCTTCAAAAATAGAGAGTTCTCTGCCAATTTGATAAGCACCCAGCCCATGTTGTACCATATTTTTAGGAGCCCTCGGCCTTTGTCTAATTGCAGCTGAAAAAGCCCTGCAACAGAGCACTCAGTTCCTAGTGAGAGCACACTGAAAGATAAAGTTTTTGTTTTGCTTGAAGGCATCAGGAAATATGACATATAAATTGTTGTTATCCTGCCATTTTAATAATCTGTCACAAATTGAAAATCACAAGCTTGCTTGAGACAGAGTGGCATTACACGAGTGGCAGAAAGTAGACTCACCTTCTTTATAGGAGGGTAAGGCAGCAGGCATGAAGAAATTTCTGAAAATGATGGGAAAAAAAACCTGAACAGTAGAAGGCCGAGAATGTAGCTTTAGAACATACCTCAGTGCTTGCAGCTAGTAAGTCAGCAGGTTATTTAATGAAACCTGAACAATATTTTTAGTTGTAAAACCATCTCAAGAAGATCTTTAAATTCAAAGTGAATTGGCTAACCTAGCCACTAATCTTTAATTAGCTTCTGGATTATGTTTATTTTTTAGGGTTATGTTCATGATTAAAGTCGTGCTGTTTGGCTGCTCTGATTCTGCAAGCAGCACCATCAGCTGATAAACAAAGAACAGATAATATTTGTTAAGTGTGGAAATTTTTTTTACTCTTCTTAGAAACTGCTTCTAGTCATAGAAGCTTCGTCTTCCTGCTAGCATGTGGTTTTACACCTTCAAACTCATTTTTTTTTATATGGCATAATCAGTGTGCTACTGGACACGTTGGAGCAGATTGGACCTGTGTGGTGCTCACAGCACCACTCTGAAAGAGGAGAGTTTTGTGTCTTGGTTTTGCTCTTCTCCAAACACATGAGAAAGTTGAGAACTGGAGGCCCTCAACAACATGAGTCACAGGCATTGTTTGGAGTCTGCAATTTCACTAAATAGCCTGGTTTTTCAAACAAAAGCTGCCATGGAAATCCTGTTGTTTAAGAGCTTGATTGCTTAGTTGGAAAAATCCATGTGTAAGGTTAGACAAATAAAGAAGGAAGTACAACATGGTTTTGAATTCTTACAGCATTTCTATGGCCAACCAACATACCACCATAATTTGGTACAGAGTGGTTCATTTTTTTTTTCTGCCTTACAGAAAGATACCCATCTTCTGAATAATTCACATGGGCTTTTAACTGCTGTGCTGGAAAGAAAGGAAAAAAAAAAAAAAGAGTGAGAACCATACCTCAGCTCAAACAGGGGCATTTATCTCTCAAAACAGGGCCAGGGCAAAGGCTAAAGCTCAGAAGAGCAAGTTACCCTGCAGTCATGCAAACACAAAGCAAAGAATATGATGTTCTCTGTCCACAGATAAATACAGTTTCTCAATTTTTGACAGATTGTTGCAAGTGTATTGAATAAGAACAGATCACATTTAAATGAGAAATTATACACTTGTATTTGTTTTGTCCAGATGTAAGTAATAAAATATATAAGGGACTACAGAATGAGAAGACAAATCCTAAAAAAAACTCCTCTCAAATTTTAATGTGGCATTCATTTTGGAAGGGGGCAGACATGAATCTAACACTTTTTCACTACATAAGTGTTTTTTACTTTCCTTACTATATTCAGGCTTTTAGAAGCCCAGCACAGAGAACCTCATGAAAATCAGAAGATGGCAAGGCCATCAATCTTTTTATAAACTTCTCATCAACTGTTAACTTCAATTTCCCATGTAGGTGATTGGCCATCCCAAGTACCAAGGATCCAAAAGAATTGCAATTTTTCTGAGCATGCCAGATGAAATCCAGACAGAGGAAATCATTAAGGACATTTTCAAGCAAGGCAAAGAGTGTTTCATCCCACGATATAAGCCTCACAGCAGTCAAATGGACATGCTGAAGTTATCATCAGCTGAAGACATTTCTTCACTTACTTTGACATCCTGGAATATTCTCCAGCCTAGTGATGATGATAGTGCAAGAGAGGAGGCTCTTGCTGGTGGTGAGTGTTTCTTCCTGCATTATGGTTTGGTTTCATGTGTTGTAGGGGTGCTTAAGTTGACATAAGCAGATGCTACTTTCTCTTGCCATTTTTCCCTACCCTGTGTCACCCCTGTGATAGGCTGGCAGGGCAGGAACAAGACTGCTCAGTTAATCCAGCTGAAGGAAACCCACCCCTCCAGATAAATCAGCTTCTTGGTCTGGTTTATGGACATCCTCAGAGCAGTCTGCCAAGCATTATGTAGAGAGGCTCATTAAGGAGACAGGGGCTTGCCCAGATTGGCTTGGGCTACCACTTAAAGTCACAGGGGATTCACAGTTCTAGGATGCAGTCTGAGAACTGTAGTTTCCACTGCCTGAAAGCTAGGGAAATTTTCAGATGATGCCTGTAGGCTGACATGAAAATTTTCTGACATCTTTGATCCTGCAACTTGTATTGCATGGAGGAATCACAGTGCTGATACAGAACCTGCTCATGCAGAACAGCTCTCAGCACCGAGACCTTAGGCTGAAAATACAAGGGCTCTCTTGCAGATTAGGATGTGTATTGCAAAGTCTTTTCTGTCATTATTCCCTCACATTTTTATTGTTGCCATCTCAGGCACTGGATTCTTCATAGAAAAGTTAAAAGTTCATTTTGATGTAACTAGTGGCATGTGTGTTTTGGTCCCAAAATAACCTCTCTTTCTTAAATTAAAAGTCCTCAAATTCTACAAAACTGTAGAATTTTCTGTGTCTGCATTCATTATTTTCATTCATTTTGTGGACACATTCCTGAAACATCTGCAAAAATGTTTAAAATTACTGATGGAAAACTCAGGTTGAACTCATGCTTGAAAACTCCTTTTGCTATATTTTTTGTGTCAGTTACATTTTTTTAACTTTGGAACGTTTTACAGGAATGCAAATTGCCTTGCTGCTACATCCATCCTCCATTGTTGGATGAAGCATTTATCTCTGTGATGTTATCAAATACTGTGGTGATCTGAGGCATTTACATTGTTATAAGGAGATAACATGGTGTTGTATTAGTAATGTTCTCATTGCTGCCATAAGTTGCTATGAAATTTCCAAGAAACACCCTGCAGGTAGGTAAACAAGTCATGTCACTTCAGAGTGTATACATTTTGCATGACAAAAAGCTTAAATTCACACTGTCCTTAAAACTTCAGGCATGGCTATTTTGAAGAATAGCTCAAATAGGTATAATTTTTGCATAGGATTTCTCAGTATTTGGTAGGACTCATGAGCTATGTTGAATAGACATGAACCTCTCCTTTCAGAGATGATCCTTTTTCTGTTGGATCAGGGTTTACCTATTTTCATCTGGGCAGTATACCACATTACACCTTGTTGGTATAAACAGAGATCACTTCAGTTTCTGTCTGGCATCTTCTCTGCCATGCATAGGTGACATTGTCAGATGAAAAGCTGATTTCTTTAGGTTCCATCGATACTGTAACAGAAAGAATAAAGGTGGAGTAAGTTCAGGTATTTTGTTTGAAGTAGGGGTGGCAGTAAGTGCATGACTTGGTTAATTTCCAGCTATACCTGTTGCAAGATTTAGACCACTTTTGCAGCAAGCCAGTGGTACATTTTCTTAATAGGTGCCAATTCCCATTTGTATCCTTGCCCATCAGAAGCATAAGTGCACTGGCATCAGGTTTTGCCCAAGGTAATACTTTCGGTGAAAGTTCAGGCAGGTTGCAGTAATTGTTTGCAGGAGTGTAAATACATTGCACAACTCTGGAAGGAGTAAATCAGATAAAACCATGCTCCCCATTTGCTTTGTATCACAACTCCTACAGAAATTTAAAGGACACTTCCCCAGCAGCTCTAATTTCAATGTGGTTTAGGGAGGCGGTGTGATTCAGCGGGCTGGACATGGGTTTCCTCATTTATTATTTATTGTTATTTAAGCCTACTCTGAGAATTACGGGTGGAAAGATAAGTTATTCCTCTGAAAAATACATTATTCTTACTGGGACTCAAAAAATTGATTGGGTTGAGTATCTCACATATGGGTAAAATTCTTGGAGGTGGCTTCTTTGAAGGGAGGCAGGTGGCCAACTTTGGACTGAGGGAGTTCAGCTGTAAGTCTTGAACCTGAGAAAATATTATGGTCTAAAGTTCGTAACTGAAGTACTGATCAGTAGTTGAAGGTGTGCAATAAATGACAAACTTTTAAAACATTCACTTGGGTGATGAGGAGAGAGGTTTTGGCCTAGGTATTTTTCTTTGCCCAAAAAATGAAAGTTATTACAGCTCAGAATGTTTACTCTAATGGACTGAGAGGTTCTCTCCTAAAAAATAACAGAAACGTGATTATTTGTACAAATTTAATTCAGCCTCTTTATCTGTGTAAATTCTGCCCTGGTCTTTAAGTACATTATTACATAATCCTTGTCCGTTGGATCTGGACTAGTTCAAAGATTAACCCGGATGCAATGAATGGGGCTCTTTCAAAGATGCAAAAGATGAGCACTGCTTGCTGTTAGTGAGTGCTGCTAAGAAGTATGTGCTTTCTCTTTGTTTAGGTTAGAGCTGCAGCCTTTTTTACTGTGCTTTGTTCTAACCTTGGTGTGGAGATGGGTTATTCATCACTACAGTGTTCAATGTCTTAAAGGTATTGACTGGGATTTGCTGATGGAGGAGCAGCAGAGGCTCAGGATCCTGGACTGTGCAGGGGAGCAGCCCCCAGTGGGCACAGATGCTTTGGCTTGTTTTTCCAAACATGATAGTATCTTCTCCATGTCCTCTGAGATTATGATTTCCCAAGCTTGTCTCACCATTGGGCTAGATCCCCTTTCCAAGCTTTTCTTTCTCTGCCACCACAGTGCTCCTCTCTATCCTTCTGCTCTTTGCCCAGCTGATCTGTATCTCCCAAGTATCCTCCTCTGGCCTTTCTGACCATGTTCCCCACTTCCTCTGCTCTCAGTCCCAGCCTGTCATTTCAGGGGCAGCTGGACCAACATAAATAGCTTGACCCTGCCAAAAGGGAGATCATGTGCTCTGTCTTCTTTCACTTGTCTGCTTGCAGACATACTCATTTTCTTCCTAACTGTGCTGGCTTCTTTCTCTTTTTCATGGGATTAGAAAAACTTCATTAAATATTACTTTTTGTACTAAACCTACAAAAGGCACAGTTCATGGTTGTTTTGTTCAGTAAGGCCTGCCCTCTCTCCTGCTCTTGGTCCCCACTTCTCCTCTGCCAGCACAGATGCCCCTGCAGCCACTGGGAAACCAGTCTTGGTTAGAAGTAGCCAAGCACCAGTAAGAGACTCCTCTTCTCTCAGACAGCCCCACTGCACCAATTTGGACTGATGCAGCTGAAGGGCTGTCACAGAGCAGGTGATGAGAGGTTGCGTAAGCTGGTGGCATGCCAAGAAAGTCTAAGTAAAACCTCAGTCCTCATTTCCTTCCATGTTTCAGTTCCCATTCCTGCCCCAGACAGAAGGACTAGGAGCAGCCACTGAAACAAAAACTTATGACTTCTGAGTCCTCTCATTTGGGAGCGGGGCTGGCAGGAGTTGCTGAGCCTGCAGTCCATGTGCTCTTTGTGGCAGTACTGTCTTGAGGAGTTTTCCCTCCTCGTGTTTTCAGCCTATCCCTGCCCCTCCATGGTAAACTGTATCAGCTGCTCTGGATGAAGGGTATTTTCCTCCTCTCTTCCACCCTGTTTTTGTTGGGGTTTTTTTAACCAAGATGAATGGGTCCAGTTTACTGTGCAGTCGTATCAGGGCAACATGTGTAGTGTGGGGATGAGGACCCAGGATGGAGGGAAGATACCCTGTAAACTGGCACTGGTTCCTAGAGAAGTGCCACCTATGCTGCTGTGACTCCAGCAGTGGTATGGAGAGGGTGACATCTGCAGAGAGGCCCAGCATTCACCCGGACACATCTTCCCTAAGCCTGTGGAAACAGCAGGTTTTCAAATACTTACAACATTGTATAAGCCCAGCTCAGATGGATTCAAATGGGGCTAAAGCCACATAATTGGCACACGTGGTAATACTACAAGCAAGATGGCAAGTTCTTGCTTCAAAGCATGGAGCTATAGAGCTTCTCCCATCGTTTTTTACTAGCTTTGTTCTTGGAAACCAGTGAACCATTTTGCCTGAAATAAAAGAAACATAACCCCCTCAGCATGGCATAAATACCCAAACTGAAAAATGTCAGCACCTGAAAATACAGCATCTTATATGCAATGGGGAATGCTGAATAAACTGCTGCTTCTCTACCAAAGCATAATGTAATTTTACTCCCAGAAATGAAGGTACTGGGGGCTAAACTTGTATTTTGTAATTTTGTTTGGAGGCTTCCAGCATTTTCACTACTGAAAACTTCGGTCGCCTACCAATCACAATATTCGTGTTGTATCTTTAAGATAATTAGTGAAATACTATCTAGATAATCTGTGCTTTAAATAACAGTATATTTATTATTAATAACAAGCGCAGATCCAAATTTCTAAAGAGGGAACATTAACATATATCTAGCAGCAACTTCTTGCAGCTTGATTTTCACATAACCTTTTGTATGTTGGCTTTTAAGGTTAGGGTAGTTGTGTATTTCTGCCCTTATAACTTCCAGAACACTCTGAGACTTGATGTAGCATAAATTGCAACAACATACTGGTAGCAGAAGCAGACAGGGACAGCTTACGTGTGTCAACTGTATTTGGTTTAGAAGTGCTCTTCATGCCAGTAAGTATGACCCTTTTGCAAGGAAAATGCTGCCTACCTCTAGGCTATGGTGCCAAGCAACCTCAAGTACTTTGAAATTATTCTTAAGTGACCATTAGCCATATTTTATGTCATATTTTATGGGATCTGCCCTGCAGAAACATTTTAGTCCACAGAAGCTCTTTTTCACCTGTCTTTAAACTCCTGCAATTTATTAACAAATTGAAAGAGGCTGCATTAGCTGCTGGGACTGATGGCCCTGTGATGCCATCAGTATTCTTAGTTACTCCAAAATTTTAGCAAAGTTCTTTAGAAG